TTTAAAATCACATACCCCTGCCCCAAGTCAGGTTCAGCCATGTAGCCTGCTGTGTGAGTAGCAGATCCTGTCAGTCCCCTTTATCTCCCGTATACATGCGCTGTGCCAGGTCAAAGGTGCCATCTGGGCCTGGGCTCCTGGATGATCAGCTTCAAAGCACTTTGACCCCACACAGCCCTGGCAGAAGGAGAGCTGAAGCCATTAGCTTCTCTCACCTGTCAAGAGGTGGCTTGTCATTAGGGTAACACTTCAGTCTCCAGATTCGTTAGGTTTTCCTTGGTGACAGAGCTGAACTGAAGGTTTTTTCTGTTCTCCTCGACTTGCCTCCCACTTCCTTTCCCATCTTATGTGCCTCACCATAGTGAGCTAAGAATTCTCTTGGTAGCATACAGCTTGGCAGGCAGCTTCTGGAAGAGCATATACAGAACACACCACAGCCCAGAGCACAGTGCACCCTGACCAGGGCTGGCAGTGACAGCATTTCCAGACCCACTCCCTGGGAAGGCGAGCCCAGTGGGGAGACTCCTGCTCAGGACACAGAATGCTTGCCTTGACTTCCTGTACAGCGTGCTACTTGATCACTCACTGGCCAACTGCCACAGGAAGAGTAGTGAGTGAGCTCTTAGGAAATGTGCTGTTCAGTATAGAAAAATGTTACCTTGGCAACAAGTGTGCTTCATTACCAGATGGCATTAGCTTTTATCTGTGGCATCCCATAGCCATTGCCAAGAACCAACCCATGGCCTCTGTTGGTGGGCATCTTGCTTTCTGACCATGGCAGCATTGGCTAGTTTTTTGTGGACAGATGTTGATTGGCCTATCTGTGATGCATGATTAGTTCAGTCTATCAAAAGCCCAAGGCGACTACAACCTGGTACATCCAGATCACTACAAACTCTCACTCCAGATACGTGAGGATCTGACTCGCTGTAGAACAACGTTAAGGCTGGACAGGATCTTGCAGAATGTACACTGAGCTCTGTCCTGATGGCACTGCTAGAGGGGACAGGGGTGGCTGTGCCACACCATGCTTAGAAGATGGAGAATGTGACATGCCTGCCTGGATCCTCTTTTTAGTTTCTTCAGCTAGCCCCTCTGCATTTCATTTTGCAGCTGAGGGGACAGGCATGAGAGGCTGTCTGACGCCCTGGGTCACATTTCCTGGACATGCTGCCTATGAGAAGGAAGCCTGCATGCTAAAGGGACAGCTGTGAATCAGGGAGATCTGACTGGATCAGCCACAGGCAGCATCTCCTAAACTGCCTGACCTGAAGCCTTGCAGACTGCTCAGCAGTCATTCATCATGCCCCATGGTTTTGTTCCTCCTTCTGGGCCCAGCACCATTGTCACCCCCTCTCCAGCTCTGTAGCTTTCCTTTAGCCCCAGGTATGGCAGTAGGAGAGAAGATTGACCCAAGTGGCAAGCTCACTGACCTGGGGGCAGAAGCTGTTCCTGGTTCCAGTTTTGATGCTAACTGGCTTTCAAATCATTCCACCTTGGCAAACTCCAAACAGATGCCACTGAACACTTACTCTGTGCCAAGCCATGTGCCATCCCCTGCATCTGTGCACTGCTTCCTGGAATTCTCCCAGTCTTTCTGCAACTGAGACAACATTGTCTTCATTTAGATGGGGATGGGGGGGGGGTGTGGTAGTGTTCAGAGGAGGTAGGAACAGGGCCACCCTTCCTAGCAGCAGAGCCAAGACCTGACTCCTACTGTGCCTGGTTCCAAAGCCTTCAAAATTGTGGACATTGTGCCATCAGGACTGTGGTAAAAATTCAAAAACCATGAATCTGTGCCTCTCCAACTTAGATGAGCACCAGGGTCCTTTCTGGCTTTGGAAAAAATAAGAATTGATAAATTTCACTGAGCCTGATGGATTTGGAAGACAGTAAACCAGCTGTCAGCACACTACTACAACCCCATGAGGCTTTTGCCAAAAACCTCCAAGTCTCATCTCATTGCAAACTTGTAGCAAGTACAGTGAGGAGGAACATGTTAGTGCACCACGGGGATTCAGTCAGCGACATCCAGACTCTGAAACCTCTGTAGAGAATAACCCAGTTCCTTCAACCAGTAGAACGGAGGCAGGAGATGTTTTAGTTTAGAAGAGATTCATGCTACGTGTCGAGCAGTCACTGATATGGACCATATTTAGATCCTGATGTGAGCAAATTGTTTTAAAAGTGGCATTACGAGACTTGGACATTCAAACACTGACGATACTGCATACGTGGTGGCATTGGAGAATTACTGTGTTTAGACATGGGGCCATGCTGAAAAGCCATTAGGCTTTTCATCATTGTTTCAGAGCCCTTATCCGAGATACATACTGGGATGTTTACGGAGAAATGAGACCATGGCTCTTACTTGTTTCAGAGCACACAGGAAGGGAAAAGGGGGGGAGGGAGTGACACAGTTGGCCTAGAGTTGGGATGGGCCTGTGGGGTACCCCTTTGTACAATTAATTTATACTAATAAAAAATTTAATCAAGCTGGTATTGGAGCTTTTGGATTTGATTTTGTTTTGATTAAATAGCTCCCATTGCTGACAAGAACAGACTAAGAGTGAAATAAGTGTGTTCACTCCTTTCTGGTTGCACAACCCTTGTGGATTGCCGAGTTAGGCAGACTGTATTAAAAGCCTTACATATTTGTAAGATTTTTGCAAATCTATCCTAAAATAGGAAATAATCCAAATTTTTGTAACAGAAGTAGACATTGCAGTCATATTTATATTAGGGAAACTAGAAAGCCAAAGAAATGATAGTACAGCCACCCCCACTACCATGCAGCAGCTAACACTAGTGTTAAGATTACATGGGATCATGAAGCAGTGCGTTTGTTGCAGTTTTAAGTAGAATATGATTTGAGAGGATAAATATATATATATATATTCAATATATATACAATGTATTCTTAATCGTAATCACGTTAGAAATTAAAAAACCGTAGATCTTAGGTAAAAAAATAATTAAAAGAAGTCCCTCAAAATGTGAATGGCTATTATCCTTGAATGGAAAGAGTATAAAAGTTAGCTTCTTTTTTTTTCTCTAATTTTTTATTTTTATATAATAAACATGTTTTTCTAACTTTTTAGTATTAGCTAGCTTAAAAATACCAAAATTAATTACCAGATGCTAGTGGCTCACGCCTGTAATCCTAGCTACTTAGGAGGCAGAGATCAGGAGAATTGTGGTTTGAAGCCAGCCCCGGGCAAATTAGTTCAAGAGACCCTGTCTCAAAAAAACCCAACACAAAACAGGCCTAGCAGAGTGGCTCAAGTGGTAGAGCTCCTGCCTAGCAAGTGTGAGGCCCTGAGTTCAAACTCAAGTACTGGAAAAAAATTAAACTGTTAAAACAAGAAAAATACAAAACTTCTGATGTCTGTAGTGTGTGTTTCTGAAATCCATCTTTGGAAACTTAAAAGATCGTAAGGCAATTTGTCAGGTGATTAAAGCAAGCTAGGCTTGGGCATTTTTCAAAAAACACTTGCTTAGTTATCCGTGCTTCCTAACAAGGAATGTTTAAATGTGCAGTAGAAGGCTGGGGCCCTTTTGCAGATCTGTGGGACTCACCCCACATTAGCCTCTCAAGAGGCTATTGATTTCAGCACTTGTAATTACCAGGCTGTGACTGGGTTGCTCTCCCCACTCCTTCCTTCCTTTCCAGCAGCTGCTCTTGTCCAAAGGCAGACTTGCTGATCTGACCTTTGTGGTTTATTGGCATGCTTATGTAATGATTCCCAGCAACACAGAAAGGACCCACTGGATGTAACCTGGTATGAGAACATTTAAAAGTACAGAAGTAAGATATGTTTATTAGCATTCCCTTAAACATGAACAAATGTGTCCTATCTTTTTATTACCTGGTTTGCACTGTGTACCAGGTTAGGCCTTCGAAAATAGACACACCAACCCAGCACTTAGAATTACTGCGGAACCAGATGTCGGAGTATACACTGGTTCCTAGGACTAATGAGGACAGAGAAAGGTGACTGTTGGGGAAAGTCAGTTGAACACAGCAAGGAATAGGAAGATCAGGAAGGGATGGTTGAAGTGGCATCTCTGGATACTGGCAGGGATTGGCGTCAGAGGATCGAGGTGCTGGGTGAGGCTGAGACCAGAAGGCTTCTTATTGGCTAATTCTATGAGGCCAAGTCCCAGCAGAACAGCCTGGACACCATGGGCCTTGGGCAGGTCCTGGCCAGGTCTGCCTCCAGAGTCTCACCTGGGAACTGAGAAGGGCTTAGCAAGGGTCAGAAGAGTTGCCTGTGTATCAAAGAGGCAGTGTAATTTTACTCCTAGGCGGACTTGGTCCACAAACACAGAAGGCTCTTTTTTGCCTGGCATCTGCAGAACTACTTTTTTTAGGTATTTTTAATCCATAATATATGCTTAGATTCTAAGCGAGCACAAGCACTTAGATGTATTTCCAGGATCTTGTTTTCTTTCTGGATGTAAAACTAAGTTACTTTTCTTTTGCCCTTAGCCCTTGTTTTGGAATGTTTTTCTGCTTTTGACCAGTCCCTATAAATAGATAGTTCAGCCAGGGGGTATTCAGTGCCTGCTTTTTCTCTGTGTTTTACTCATGGATATAAATAGGTCCCTGACAGCATGAAAACAAAGTGCTCACTAAATCCTAGAATGCCAGAACTAGTCTTGGAAAAAGCTAGTCTTAAAATGGCTGAGGGTTGGAAGGGTGGATACTAGCAAACGTACGTAAACATAAAACTTACCCTAGAGTTTGTAAGCCAAACTTCAGGTGGTCAGATGAGTTGGCCCACATTATCCCTGAGAGATTACAGGAGGAACCCGCTGTGTCTGTTCTTACATGCTATAGGTTAAGAGTCCCACACTTTCCCCCGAAACACTTGCCCCACTCAGAAACAGGACACCCAGGTGGTCATTTCTGCTTCCTCCAGGCCTGCCCACCTTCGCGTGATCTATCTTCGTGTCCAAGTGTGAGCGTTCATCTTTGCATACTCATGTTTTGACAGGTGACCTTGGGAAAGGTGTTGAAAGTGATCGTGGTCATGAGGAGCCTATTCATCGATCGAGCAATAGTAAAGGGGTATAATGAAAATGTCTACATGGAGGATGGCAAGGTAAGTGTTGGAGAATCCAATGAATGACATGGAAACAATCGTAGCTGAAATGATCTACAAACATAGATTTCTCAGTATGAAGGTGAATACTTTACAAAAAGCATTTCATTCCGTCTGCTTGCATTTTTCATCAAGCTTCTTCCTCTAAGCCTGATGCCCTTACCTGAATTTCTAATTTATCACCTTAGACCCCAGTTGCCTCATTAAATGTGTCTTCTGAGGAAATGGATTTTTTTCCAAGTCAACCAGTACATCAATAGCCTAGGGTTCAGCATTTTGCCTTTCCTAGAATCATGAGGAAAATTCAAGTTAGTCTGACACAACCTAATAACTCTTTTTTTCCACGAAACCAGTAAGTCACCCTCAGGAAGTCGCTTATTCATAGCCACATGCCCTGAATGCTGCTACTGAAAGAAGACAGTTCTTCCCACAGGTGGTTTGTTTCATGGCAAGTTCACCAGTGTGAACCCCCAATTTCTTCTGACCGCTCACTCTCCATATGGCTCTGAAGAGCATCAGAGGAGGCTAATGGGAGCTGACAGCTTTCCTTTGTATCTGCTCCTGAGTGTAATAGGCACCCTGCCTGGAGACCCACCCAGCTTCTCCCTGCCACTTCCCAGCCTAATCGTCCTCCCCCAGGAGACGTCTCTTCCCCTCATTTTGAACTATTTAAAGTTCATTAGTACCCAGCACTCACCACCCAGTGGCCACATTATAACGAGAATAGAATGCTCTTCAAAAAGAGGTGATAACTGTGGCTTAGCGCATAACAGTGTGCTTACAAGAAGTGCACCGGGATGTAATGACATAATGCGTCTTGGTCAAGTCACTCAACACTCCCGCAGTCCAGTATTGGCTACCTGGGAAGCCACTCTTACTCCAAGAACTCTGCCATGTGCTCGTCAGTCTCCTCACCGATAGCAAAGCATCTGCCCAGGAGAGATTTCCTTTTGCCTTTTGGAAAAACCAAGCTGTCCTTGGAGCAAGCGTGGAAAGTGAAGTGGGTGATGGGTGAGCCATGGCCTCGTGCGATCCTGGACTCAGACTTCAGAGGCTGTTTCTTCCTTCTGGCCCACTGCAGGGGGCGCTCAGAAGTGTCATTCCTGTCACACACCTGATGTGAAACACAGACCTTGCTTACATACAGCTGGACTGGGGAGTTAAAGAACAAATACAGAGCAAGTGAGGACCATGCTGATGAGGGAACTGAGTTGAATTTAGATAAGAAGTAGTGGCGATTTTGCCAACTTTGCGTGATACCTTTCACATTTTGATGTCAGTTGCCCATACCAAAAGTCTCCAAAATAAGTGACATAAGGCACTTAGCCACTGCTGAGTGTTCAGTAAATGGTGACTAGCATTATTTTTATTCTGCACCTAAAACAAGTAGCTTGGAAAGTAACCTCACATGTATTCCTCTAAGATTCCTCTCTGGTGACCCTTCCCACCTGCTTCAGATACTTCCTTCTCTCTCACCTCCATGACCCCAGGTTCCCCAGAGATTTCTTTTCCCACCACCCACTCTCCTTGATATTCTCATCCATGTCACCTACACAGAGGTCACTCGTGCAGACCTCCCTCCCCAGACACTGCTCAAATTTAGTCTGCCCAGAGCTAATGTCATTATATCTCTCCCTAAATGTGGTTTCCTCCTCTCTTCCTGCTTAGTTATCCATAGCACAACCTAATTGCTCAAGCCTTCCCATCATCCCTCGTATCTAGTCTATCAGCAGTACTGGCAGTTCCCCCTTAAGACTCTGTCACATTGGGCCCCTCCTGTCCATGTTCTCTGCTTCTCATCCACACACAACTACTCTCAAGTCTCACTTGCCTCTCACGATTTCTCCTGCCCGTGGTTTCCCACCTGCCACGCTAAGATTCACCCCACAAGTGTCATTCTCTCACTTGTCACCACCTCTGCATTGCCCAGAGCAGCCCTCAACAGGTCAGAAAGTTGGGGGAGGGGATTACTAATAGATGTGAGGCATGGAGTGGGCCACAGTCAAACAAGTTTGAGGAGCAATGGATTAGGGAAAGTTCACTTTTGTTGTTTGTTTTGTTTCTTGTTTGTTCTCTTGCCTTTTGTTTTGCGGTGCTGGGGGTCAAACCCAGGGCCTCGCACATGCTTGGCAACAGCACTACCACTGAGCCACACCCCCAGCCCCAGCCCCAAAGTTGAGTGTCTTTACTGTAGATATTCTTAGAGCCTTTGGTTTGGTTACATGCTTTGTGGGTCTCTAAAGGCATAAGTAATGTACAGTATTTTCCTCATTTACTTGGTCACCACGTTCTTTGGGGTTTTCTGCCAATTCTTAAAGCACATTATACACTGGCATTTTGCCAAGTGCACTGTGAGAACCCTGGCTTTACCAAATAAAATGCAGGCTCCTTTGCAAGACATGTAAGTGCCTGACAGCTGTGCTGCCTTCCTATTGGACCCCATCTGCTCTCTTTCTGCACACATCCAGACTCGGGTGTTCCCTCTGGCCCCCAGGATGTGGTACCCTTGCACACATTTGCACATCTGCCATGCCTGGGACAGTTAACTCTCCAGCCCACTGGATAAGTTCTCACCCTCCCTCCTTACTGGCTCAGTACCTCCTTCCTTCTCATCTCTCTATACTTTCTGGGGGCCTTTTACGAGGAGCCCTGTGCTTACAGACATGGGCTCTAGAAGTGGCTGACACGGGCTTCCCTCCACTTACAGCACAGAGATCAGAGGTCATCATCATTCATGACACATCCATAGAGTTTTGGCTGGTACGGGGGTTAGCACCTCGTGAGGATTTGTTTACACCTCCATCTTGCACTTAGCCAAAGTGCTAGCAATACTAACAAATAAGGCCTGGCAGACAGCACTATTCACATGCCTGTGGCGGTTAACAAGCCCTCCTAGCCTGCCATGACCAGACTGCAGAGAAGAGGACAACTTAGTGTGGAGGTGCCCATCCACAGCCACGCAGCCAGTCCACAAGTCTGCACTGACCAGGATACAACTAGTGCGGAAGCACCAGAGAAGCCCAGTCTTGGTGGGAAAGGAGAAGAAATAGCCTACTTGGGGATATGAAAATATTTAGCTGGGATGGAGAAGTGAAGACTCAAAACTATGAAATGAAGAAAAAAAGGTGGGGGCATGGCTCAAGTGAAGGAGCACCTGCCTAGCAAGCATAAGGTCCTGAGTTCAAACCCTAGTACTACCAAAAAGCAAAAACAAAACACAGAGAAATGAAGAAAAAAGAAGCAGCAGAAATTGAAGTTGTAAATAAATCAAAGAACAAAAGAGACACACACAAACTTACATGCACAATTTCTCCTGATAGAGATTAGCGCAGCTTCTCTGGTCATCAAAAAGAAAATGGGTATGTTTGGGAATTCCTTTATGACTGACATCAGAAGTATGGTGGAGCAGGATGCCTCTTGATGCCTTTGCCACCTTCAGGGTACAGTCAGCCACATTTGGTAGAGAAGCTCTCCACTGAATAGATCCACCTAGACCTACTCCTTGCCCAATTGATTAGTCCATCTGCTTTTCAGAGGTCTTTAGAAGATCAAGCAGACTCTGCAAGCATTCTGCTCTGAGTGCTGATCCTGGCATGTCATGTACTTCTGTGTATTTACCCACAGAGACCTTAGTGCTCTCAGTGCTGAAGTGCCTGGCACACCCCAATGACACCACTAGTGCTTAAGGTGTGGTCTACAAGAACAACCTGTCACTTGTTGCAACAGGTGCCCAGGGGCTAGGGTGTTGCTGCAGTCTCCTGGAGCAGTCTCAGGTACACTGGGTGTGACTTTGAAAGCTCCTGTAGCCTTCACCTCTGCCTGCATGATTGCCCAGCGGACAGTGCAATGCTGCTAGGGCATTCCGCGAGGTTTTCATCGCCCCTAGCACCACCCACACCAGCAAGCTGTCACCTTGCACTGCCTGTAACAGCCACTGTCCTAATGCCCTGTCTCTACCTGTGATGCACGTTTTGGATCCCAAGCACCAGCAGCCTGATCCTCTACTAAGGAAGAAAAATGCTGTTCAGACCGCTATTCATTGTGATGAGGGAGGGAGAGCCGTGACTCAGCATGTTAAAAGGCCAGGTTTAGAGGAATACCTGACCATTGTCCTGATTTTATACAAGTCAGACCGAACTGAAAAATAAACGTGTCTCAGTTGAATTTATCTTATTAGGGGATTTAGGTTATGTTAATGCTATAGCTTCATTAATTACCCCATATCAATAAAAAGGCAGCTTTTAGCCTCCGAGCGTAAGAGAGGAAAAGAAATGGTGCTATCAAAGGGAGCCTTCAAAGACAGCCAGAGCTGTCTCCAGGGTAATTTCTGATCCTGTATTCTTCCCACTTCAAAGTTGGATGTGTGTGTGTGTTGGGGTCGAGGGGGTTGGGGAGGCTTGAGTCTGATTTCTCTAATAAGTGTTGGCATCAGCCCCGTTTGATATTAGATGCAGGGAACATTTTGATTTGTTTTAGCCTTTGAAACTGTTCAGACGACCTTCAGAAAAATGGCCTCTTGTTACTTCTGGGGAGAAGGGTGAGAGCCTGGAAGGGGAATCCAGTTTAATTCCTATGCAAAGGAGGCCTGGAATTGTGCTTTCAGCAGTTTTAGTAACAAATGCAGGTCCTAGCTGGAAGTGAAAATTCGAAGAATAATAGACCTGTAACACCTCCTTCCTCCCTGAGATTCGTTCACTCTCTTTTCCTCTGGGGGTTGGGCAGGCTTGGGAAGATGATCACATAGATGGTTTTCTGGTTTTAAAAACTTGGGCAGACAAGGAGAAATGCATCCCCATTGTCCAGTTGTAGCCTTCACTCAGTCTCACATGTCTGCTGCCTGTTGACCTTGGCAAACAAAGCTCTAAGGAAAGGCTTTAGAAGTGGAAGCTTATATGCAGCTTCCAAGTGTTATTTAGAAGTGTCCCTTGTAGATCATTTTAAATTCTCTCTATGTGCTGCCTTTGAAATGAAATAAAGAATTGATAACTTTCTGATAAGCTGCCAACATGTTCACATACTGCTAAATGAATTTTAGCGGTGATGATTGTCACAGCAGCAGGCCTGGCGTTGATTTGTGATGTTGAACTCTACAGGAACACCACCCCTCCCCAAGAACTGTCAGGTGACAGTGTGGGGACTCAGAGGTGCATTCACCTTCAGTTGACCTGGGCCTCTGAACACAGACCTGCTTCTGTGTGACCTTAGACAGGTTGCCTGACTTCCCTGAGCCCCAGTTTCCTCATCTGAGTCAGGAATGATTTTACCATCTTCATGCTGGGAGGAATTAAAAAGACAGTGTAGATGGAGTGCAAGCTAAAACCAGTCATCAGAAAACAATGTCTTGCAAGCACGAAACCCTGAATTCAAACCCCAAAAAAAAGTCTGACCTAGCTGATAGTGACAGAGGTGATGATAACCACTGTTAAAGTTAGAATGACCTTGCCTGCTGGTATCACATCATTCCAATTATTTTCTCCCACTACTTGTTCCTGTGCGTCAAGAGGTCTTTTGACATCTCAGGGTTTGTCCTGAGGCTGGTTATGTCTGTGCTGAAGCACTTAGTTTGTTTCACTTCCCCCAGAATAGACCCTATGCATACCCTAAAACACTTTGTCCAGTCTCCGGGTCTTGGTTCAGCTGCCAGTCATCCCAGGCTGACTTTGGTCTTTCAAATGCTTACCCCACATTCTGAGGGAAGCTTTACTACCTTTTCTGCCACCATAGTTCAGAATAATGTCTTGTTCACCAGGCTGAAAGTTTGCAGCTTCCAGAATTCTCCCTTTTTTAAATATTGAAGCTAGCAAAAAATTGGTAACCATGCCCATCTTTCTAGTGAGTAGGTGGAGCTAATAAATACTCAGTTCAGCCTGACTTTTTGAAATGAGTTCCTGCGGGCTTCCTGGCCCCGAGGAGAGACAGGACATTGACTCCAGAATGCTCATTTAAACTGCTTTCTTTGGCATAAATCTAGCAGAAAATCAAGTACAAACCACCTGCTGTATCTTCCCAGCAAAAGGGGAGCCCATTGTTATGGGATCTCTTTTTCAGCTCTGTGCACCAGGTAAATAGACCACATTGTCCAAAGTCCCTCAGTCCCAAATGGCAGAACTGCTCCCTAGGGTCCTGAAGAAGATTCTTAATCCTCCTTTCAAATAGAGCACCGCCTCCCTCTCAGTGGCCATGGTGGGTTTTGAGAGTCCATAACTAGGGCGCAGATACATCCATAATTAAACCTAGGCCGAGTTCCCTCCAGATGCTTTTGTTATTAAAAGATGTTGTAGAATACCAAAGGGTTTTTTAAAATAAGTTTTTCTTCTAAGTAAAAACTATAACTTTTTCACCTGCACAGATTACTTACTTCTCTGTCTTTTGGGGGCTCTGGGTTTATGCTTTGCTCTGCTTATGTGTGGTGTGAATAGGCAGGAAGGATAAATAGTGAAGAACTTCAGAAGAAACAGCTGTGGGCTCAAAATAGAAGAAGAACCATATTAGTTCCAAGTTCAGACATGGATGTTACTCTTCCCAAAATTTAGATCTAGACTCTTTGCATCTATCTGCAATCTTGATAGTGATTTTGGTAAAACTAAAAGATGCAAGTAATTATTATTTTCATTCATGTCTTTAGCAGGGTTGAGCAAGCCCTGAGGTCTCCCTCAGAGTCATCTTTGTCACTCTCCCCTGTAAGTAGTTAACCTGTCAGAGCAAAACTCAAATACCTGGAGGTTTTTCTTTTTCCTCTCTCACCCATTTGTTTAAGGGGAACCAACGACTAGAAATGAGCAGTTTAGCAGGTGTAGGAGGGGGGTCTGCTATGGGTCTTGGGGGCACCCAGGAGGGAGATGTTGCAGTCAGAGGCTGGGGTGTGGATGGATTTCAGGTGCATTTTCCCAGTGGAAGGAAAGAATGTACGAGTGCTGACCCTCCACCCTCTCCATCAGGAGCCCTGCAAGACAGCTACTTACATCCACTTTACTCTTTGTACTGTGATGGGCATTCAAGCACCGGGAGACTGACATGAGACCGATTCTGAGCAGGAAGGACATGGAGGGACTGAATGGAAGCCTGGGTACAGCCCAGCCTTTCATTCCCCAGGACTCTTCAGAAACCCATGTTGGGGTGTTTTCCTCCGAGTAGAAACAGAACTCTGAAGCATCCTGGCCAAATGCAGCACTGCACTTCCTGTCTTCTCAGAGTAGGCCCATTCAATAGCTCCCCACATCCTCTGTGCTCCAGATCAGTAACACCACGTACACCCCAAGCAGCCATGGTCAGGTTTCTGCCTTGACCACTGGCCAACCCCAAAGACTGCTTCCAAGGGACCCATTCACTGGTGTTTCAATTTGCTCAGCTCCTGACCTCCTGTATTAAAGTGGACTTTTTAGCACCTCTGGGACACACTGAGGTCTTCCTAGTCTCCTCATCTGAGAGCAGTGTCCCAGCAGTGTCAGGTAATTCTGGTTTTGCCATTCTTCATTTGCCCTAAACTCTCAAAACCGCAAGAAGGTTTCTCATGCAAAATGGTGTTGGTTAGAACAAACCACTGAAGTGCCTGTGCATAACCACGTGTGGCTGGAGGAGGACTCAGTTGGATTTACTTGGAGCCCTGCCCAAATTTCCTTGGGCACCCTAGGTCTGGGGTTCCTGCCTAACCAGGTATCAAAGGCAACCTAGGAGCATTGATAAAAAACAATTTTTTTAAAAAAAGGAACAGGCCCTGGGGCCTGCTTCAGACTGCCTAATTCAGACGCTCTGGAGGAGGGAGCAAAGAATCTGTCAACTTAAAAATATAATTCCTCCAGGGGCTTTTGATGCCTAGCCAGGCTTGAGCACCACCAGGTGAGACCATTTGCAAGAGGCTCTTCAGGTGCCCTGGGACTCTGAAGGGCTCTGAACCTTTGCCTCCTCCTCTAGAGGATGAGGCTTATTCTGGGGACCACAGCAGAGAACATGTGGAGGATCCAGACAGAACAGGTGCTCAGCAGCTACATGTGCTGGGTCCCCACATTTTAGGGCCTGGGGAGCCAGCAGGGCGGAAGGGGGGCCTCCTGCCCTCACTGAGCTTCCGTTCTACATGGGCAAGTCAGACAGTCAACAAGCAAAGAAGTAATAGTGCTTGAGGCTGTCCAAATATTAGAAATCATAACAACAGGTATTGGGGCTCAGGTTTTAACAGGCAACTGAGAAAGCCTCTCTGATAAGGTGACATTGACCCTAATGGCAGTGTAGGAAAAGCCATGTGAGAGTTTGTGGGAAAAAAACAATCCAGGCAAAGAGCACAGCAAGCGCAAAGGTTCTGAGCCATGAGAGATCCATGGTAGAGTCAAGGTTAGGAAAGTGAGCCAGGGGCTCAGCCTACAGGCCTCAAGTTAACTGCCCGTGTCTCCACTAGAGATTGATAAAGAAGTTTAAAGCTCCTTACTCTTCCAGTTTAGTAAGGGCCTCAGTAGTTGCAGCATTCATTGTGTCTAAATGAAAGTTCTGAAATTGCTGCTGACAGTCCTTATCTCTTTCCTCCCAGCTTGATATATGGTCGAAATCCAACTACCACGTGTTCCAGAAGGTAAGTTCTACTTTCTGCTTCGCACTCAGGAGGCACTGGAAAACATGAATGCGCTGAGGTATAAACATTGGTCTCAAATCCGAGGAATTTTAAAAGTGAAAAAGCCAGGCATAAAAAGCTGTTCACTGTATGATTCCATTTCTATGACAGTCTAGGGAAAAAACCTTAGGGACATTAGATTGATGGTCGCTGGAGGGTGGGAGCAAGGGATTGACCCCAAAGGGACATGCAAGAGTGTGTTGAGTGAAGGAAGAATTCTGTATCATAAAAGGTGGTAGTGAGGACACAGTACACATGTTTGTTATGCTCAGAGAAGTATAGATGGATGGGTTGTGAAGTTTACTGTATGTTACTTAGACTAAAAAAAAAACGGGTTTTTGAATTGTTCCAAACTCAACGAAATTTTGAAACTCAGTGTCTCAGAGCCATGTGGCCTGTACAGCTACCTCAGAGTGGGCTGAGAGAGACTGACCACCTCCACCACCTGCCCCTGTGCCCACGTCATGCTCTCATGACAACTTGTGCAGATCCTGGGCTTGCCAAAGAAAAACTGGAAGGGAAGGAGTGTTAGAAACACAAAACATGACTAGAGATGCTCTGTGTCCCTGGCTGCTGATGGGGAAGGACCCCTCCCCTGCCCCACCTCAGGCTCTGTGGCTTGTGAGAGACCCCACACCCTGCAGCACTGGACCATCCTGTGTTGGTGCTGTCACCCAGCAGTGCAGACAGTAGAGAGAGATTACCATTTTCTTCATTGCCCCACCAAGTCCAACCTCAGCTTTCTATGGAACCTCTTTGTCATGTGCTGGCCACTGTGCTTAGTTCAGGAATACAGGGAAGAGGAGACAGTGGGGAGGACTCTCCCCAGGACCACAAGAGGAATGACCTTCAGCTGAGGGGAGTCCAGAAGGCCTTCATGGGGGCATGTATGCTGAGGCAGGCTTTGTGAGGAGGAGGGCCTCCATGAGAAAAGCCTCAGCAAGCCATCCTAAGCAGTAGGAGCAGCACCTGGACCCTGGTATCAGGGAGAGTATGACATGGTGTAAGAGTAGGGGAAGCCAGTGGGAGGGAGAGTGCCCTGGCAAGGAGGGGACAGTGTGGATGGGACAAAGCCCTGGTCAGGCAGGTGTCTTAAGGCACAGTGCAGAATTTGGATTCTGTTCTTAGATCAGTTACAAACCCCAAAGGGATTGCTATAGAGGAGGGACACCTGCCCAGGTGACCTCCACATTCAGTAAGGTGTGCCCAAGCCATGCCATGGGCAGAGGGCTTTTCTTTAAATTAAGGTGAAATCCACATAGCCTAAAATTAACCATTTTAAAGTGAACAATTCCTAGGCATTTAGTACACTCACAGCCTTGTACAGCCACCACCTCTGTCTTGTTCTACATTTATCTCCCCAAGGGAAGACAGTGACAGTGGGGCCCAGTGCTCCTCCAGTGGTGCTCCCTCCACATTGGTTCACCTTGACCCCTGTCCATTTGCCTTGACAAGGGTCAGCAAAGAACAGAGCCAAGAAGTAGGGGAGCAGTCTGAGGCTAAATGGCACACATTTAGAGAGCCTTACAAATATAAGTATTAAAAATTCACAATTTTAGCCAGGTATGGTGTTGCATGCCTGTAATCCTAGCTACTCAAAGGCAGAGGCAGGAGGATCAAGAGTTCAAGGCCAACCAGCCTGGGCAAAGTTAGCAGTGGACCCTCCCCACCCCCACCACATACACACTTCAAAAATAAAATGCAAGAAAAGGACTGGGTATGTGGCTCAAGTGGTAGAGTGCTTGCCAAGCAAGCTGAGTTCAAACCCCATACCGCTTCATGATTTTTGTCATACCTAATGCAATGTGCTACCCCTGGCTGACCCTGAAACAGGAGAAGGGTAATGGGAAATCTATGGAACAAGTGAGTTCCAGGTGAGCGCTAGAGCGAATGTGTATCCAGTGTGGGTTTCCTTGCAGTGACGGGGAAGCTGAGGAGGAAAAGTTACAAGGACAGAGAACATGCAAGTCAGCATTCATGGCTGAGACATTAAGCATGAGACAAGTGAGTCTCCCAGAGACGCAGATAAACATGATGGCCACAGTGGCAAATGCCATTCCTATGGCACCTGTCCATACCATCTTTGCAGTTCTTCCATAAATCAACAACTATTCCAAAGTAAAAAGGTATTTAACTGAAAAAATCATCTTCCTGCCTCTTCGAACACCCCTTTAGTCTATTGTGTTCTCTAGAAACATAACAGGGAAATAGCCTCCCTCCCTGGGTCTAGAGCCAGAAGGAAGGAAGCCATGGTCACCATGTCCAGCCTTAGGGCCGGGAGTGACAGTTGCAGGCTCCATGTTCTCATCTAAGTCAACCTACCGGGGCATTCACAGGGCCGTGGAGCCTACGGAACGCCTCGGCCTTAGGCACTAACCTTTTCCCTGCTGCGTCTCCCAGCTGTTAGCCAGAAAGGCATTCTAAGGAGAAAGAGCCCTGCTCACTATTAGCATCTGGTTTGCTGCCACAGCGAGGAATATTAGAGCAGTTGCTGATTTTCTTATCTTCAGTCCTCTGTGATATACAGTGAGCTCCTGCTCCCCACTCCTCAAAAGGCTCCATCACCCTCAGACTTCCCAGGCCAGAGCCTTGCAGGAACCTGGTCTTGAACAGTGGCCAGTTTCCACTGTAGTGCCCTCATGAGGGAGGGGCTTGCACATGCCGGTCCTTGTGCACCTGTTAAACCCTGTTCTGTGTAGTATAGGTGTTTCTGAGTGCACTCTGAAGTTTATCAGGAACTTGGGAAATGTGTGAAGCAGACTTGATTTGGTGAAGCAGAGACTTAGAGAGACAACGCCATGTTTTTATCCTTCCTCCTCTGAAAACAACCTGCCAGGTGTTCTTTGTATTTGCCTAAAACTACAAACACAGGAGCAGTGCTGAGATTAACTCAGCCTCATCGGAGACAGTTGAGAGCACCCGCCAAGTCCTTCCGGGTAGTTTATGTAACATGTTTGAAGCAGTAAAAATTGACAAATTCTAAGTGATGGGGATTTTACCTTAACCAGAGAGTGGTAGCCCTCTGGATTTGCACAAAACCCTTGCTGAGATTCCTTTATCATCTTTGTCTTTCCCTGTTTTTAACAAAATGAACTTAACCTCTGTTAAAGAACTGGATATGGTGGCATATGCCTGTAATCTCAGCTGCTTGGGAGGCAGAGAGCAGGAGGATTGTGGTTCAGGCCAGCCAGGCAAAAGCTTAGCAAGACCCTGTCTCAACAAACAAGCTGAGTGTGGTGGTTCACATCTCTGATCCCAACTATATAAAAAGGCAAGATGAGAGAATCTAGGACAGGGGCTGACTCCAGGCAAAAATGCAAGGCCCTACCTGAAAAACAACCAAATCCAAAAGAGCTGGGAGCACGACTCAAATGGTAAAGTTCTGCCTAGCAAGTTTAAGGCCCTAAATTCAAATCCAAGGAGGGGAGAAGAAAGGGGAGGGACACAATATCGGGACAGATGACAGTGCTCTTACATCAGAACTAAGGGCAGATAGACATGAAGTCTCTTCTACCAGAGCATCACCTATTTGCCGTCAAATGAAGAGCGGTATTAGAAAAATAACATAGCACAGAATGACACTTAATCCTTTCTCGGTGAAGCTTTCAGCTTCACATCACTTGGAGCTGTGTGGCGTTTCATCAGAACATGTACGCTACCTGCTCACAGAAGGTGCAGGTGGAGGGAATGGGAAGCACGTGCCAGGCTGTGCTGTGCTGCTTCCTCTGTGTTCCTCCCAGGCCAGGCCAGTGGCCAGACAGGAGACCAAGCTGGACCACAGCCAGGCCTCGCATTGATAGTACAGCTGGGCCACTTTGTCCCTGGCAGGTTCTGCAGGCCTGGCAGCCTCTGGGGCGATAGTCAGTGTTCAGACTCAAAATGCCAGCTGTTTGTGAAAATTTTATTTTCTTCCTGCCCACCCACTTAAATTTGAGGTGTCATTGGTGTTGCCTCCTCAAGCACATGGTATACATTCTCTCTGGTCCCTCACTGGTCTTACACCCAGCTGGGAGACCAGCCAGGGTGGGGTTAGACATCAGCAGCATCCAGAAAAGCCCAGTCCAGCACAGGCACCTCAGGTGCACCAGAAGGGCAGCACAATGGCAAAGCAGGCTCCTGGGCCCTCAACGAGAGGAGCTGTCTCAGGCAGAAAACAGTCCCCAACACCTTCCAGTGGGGTAGCTTCCCTAACTGGGCCCCACTTCTGAGACAGAAGTGGCAGCTGCTCGTATGGTTCTCCCTGCGCTGCTGTGTGCAGCCCCAGGACTGCCTTTCTTGGTGCTCATTATGTGGGTTCCGTTGCTGCAGACAAGATGTATTTTCCTGCCCACAGTAGCAGCAGTGGCCACTGTGGTGGAGGACCTGCTAGGAAGGCCAGAAGCCCTCTGAGGTCTCTCCTCATGGTGACATGTCAGGAGCTAGGCGAATGGAAGTGGACCCCTGTCAACTCCTCTTGGGGCCCTTGCCTACCTGCTGGGGTAAAGGCCAGCATATCTAGCCACTGGAAGTGAGAGTCGGCTTTCCTTTTGTCTGCAAATGTTGATTCTGTCAGCAAGCCCTTTTCTGTCTTGCTCATTAGACCCTGTACCCAAGTGTGGGGCAGTGGCAGCTGGCCGGGGACAGCTTGCTGTGGGTCCATGGCTGCTAACAGGTGCCTGTCATTTACCGCACTCCCCTGGAGGCGCCTTGCACTTCATCCTAGGGTGAAGCAGCTTTTTATAGCCAGCAAACCTCCAGCAGAGGGGATTCAGAGAATGGGACTTAGAAATAAGGGGACCCTCTGAAAGGGCAGAATCACAAAGAGCCAGGAAAGGTTTCAAGCATGCTCATATTTTCCTGACATTTAAACTCTGCAGGGGAAGTCACTGTTTTGATCTTTAACCCCCTCATTTCAAAACAGTGTTCATTTTCATCCAGTGACTTCAGAGGACTGAGAGCTGATCTGCAGCGGCTCACATGGTCAATCCCGGCAGGGCAGCTGAAAAAAAAGTACATGCACAGCCCAGGTGGGCAGGTGGGGAGCTGAGAGAGGGCCAGAGGAACAGCACGTGCTCCCCAGCATCTCCACTTGGAGGGAAGGACAAAGTGTAGATGGGGAGGTCCAACTCAGCCCACAGCTGTTGCTCTGCCTGCAGCAGAGGGAGAGGACCTCATCCAGTCCGCACTGTCAGATGCTGCTGGGACAGGTGGACTGCCCAGCAGAATGCTGTCACCCCTTCATTCCCACGTTTGTTCATTCAGCTGCTCTTCAGTGTGAGAGGCAGGGCGCTGTCTGGGGACAGCCTTTATCCAGGGATGTCACTGAGTGGCCACCAGGGACTTTTCAGGAGAAAGACTGAGGCAACCCTGAGACACATGGTTCTCTACATGGTTCTCTGGCATTTTGGTAGACTCCTTACATTAGGTCGGCTACCCTAAGTGCCTCACATAAATTGAGTTCCTTCCCAAGTAGTACCTTACACACCTGACCTACGGCAGGCTCCAAATCCTTGAAAGGAAACTGTCCTAGCACAGGAGAGTCCTGGAGGATGGGAGCCCTCACCCCTTTGGAGTTGGGCTGTGCAAGTGTTATCTGAGCATACGTACCTGCTGGAGTATCTCACGACACCCATGAGGCTCAGTAAATGCTCACCAAGTCATTTAGAACCCCTGAGCTAATTCCTGCCAGCCTCTTTCATGCTTCCTTTCAAAAGCCCCTCCTCAAAAATTAAGTTAAATGAAGAACCCCTCTTCAGACTCCATAGCTGGAGGCTTGAAGAGGCCGAGGTTGTGGTACAAGTTCCAAGACTTTAGCTGGATCTCAGGCCATACCCGCAGCCAGGGCAGCCTCCAAACCTCAGGGAAGGGCCTTCAGCTGTTTCCATGTCATGTCCTCTGACTGTCCAGACTGTCCCTGCCGGGTCAACTTGTACCAACAAGGAGAGCTGGTGTGGTAAAGACAGAGTACAGTGTCATTTTCCTTCTGTCTCAGTGATTTTGTTGCCACCTCACAAGTGTGTCCCAGACAGAGCTAAGAGAGATGCTTTCCCAGGTGCAAGGGCAGATGGGCAGTTCCATGTAGGCAGGCAGATTCCCTCCATGGCCTTGACAGGCAAATGTAGGAGGAAGATGTGTGTTTGCTGCATAGAGGGCGGTCAACAGCTTCAGGGAAGGAGAGCAGAGCAGTCCCAGGGTCCTCCCATAGGCAGGCAGCAGAAGGGGACCTAAATGGAAGTGCGGTCCCTCAGCTGACAGCTGGACTGAGCAGGCCAAAAAGGCAAAAACATCAGCCCAAGCCTAGGAGCTAAGAATGGTGAGGAGGGGTCCTTACACCCACCCAGTAATCAGGGAGCTTCTGATAGTACCATCTCTGAGGACCAGTCCATACACTCACACCCAGGATTCATTCCACCATTTGTTTGCCTCTTGTGTACCGAAGGCCCTTCCCTCCAAAGGCCCAAGCCGCTGCTGTGTGCTCATGGCCCAGTGCTCAGGCACCCAGCATGTGGAGGAAATGGACACGGAAGGCCTGCCTGGCCTGCTGGCTTTCTGAGCACATCTTGAGTTGCCCTAGAAATGGTTTGCGGCTTTCTGCCATTAGAGAAGTCACAGCATGGCCATTTGTCATCTCGATAGCTATGTCTTCCTGAGGGTTCTATGAGACACAGTATATACAGCAGGTCAGCACCTCGCAGCCATTTCTAGGAAGACCAACCCCGCACCCTCTGTAGCTACCAACAGCAGTTCTTCATACATGATCCTGCTGTTATTGTCATTGTCACAGAGCTTGGAGCCATGGAGCTCAGAATCTGCAGCCATCTCTATGCATGGGCCATTTTAGGTTAGGTATTTTTGTAAACTAAACTGAAGACTTAGCTTCCACGGCAAACTGCCCATGCCACAGAAGCCTCCTCCATTTTCACTTTCTCCAGGACTTTTGTCCCTTCGCCTAGACAAAAAGTGAGCTAAAGAGGGGCCAAGACATCAGAATTACAGTCATACAGTGTGCCTATGGGCAGCCCTCATATGCTGACATAGAATCCCAGGCCATGCTCGGTCTCCGATGTCCTGAGAAGGCTGGTGGCACCTCCAGTGATCCCAGTGGCCTGAGATTGCTATGGTAACCAAGCTTTCTGTTTGGCAGAGTGGGCCAGGCGGTTGGTGCTCCCTGCTCCACAGTCTTTCTCCTGCCATCGCCTGTTGCCTTGGATCTGGTGCACAAGTGGGTGGTGGTGTGTGTTTTGCTGGGAGCCCAGATGTCTTTGGATGTTTCTTTCTCATAACTAACTACAAGGCATTCCTGCAGAAGTAACATCATGCCAAGCAAGTGCAGAACAATTCAGGTGCCTCTGGGTTAGGACTTTCCTGGCATTTTACCATCAGGAAAGCCTTAAACTTTTTTTCTTTTCATCTGAGTATTCTTAATTCCTTAATCCTGAGAAATGTCAAGGACCCTTCCTGTGTATCTCCTCTCAGCCTGCACGGGGCCTTTAGCAGAAGTGGAAAGCGGTCAGGACCCTGGAGAGTTCCCTGGTGTGGGACTTTCCCCACTCTTCCAGGCCCCCCCCCAGTCCCTCTTACTTCCCTCCCCTCTCCCCACTAGCTGAAAAGGGGTCCTAATAGGTGAGTGGCACCTAAGCAAGGCAACGAGCTGGGCCCAGGGAGGAGAGAAATGCAGCATGGCCTCATCCTCAAAGAGAGTACAGCCTGAGCATGGGCATCTGGTTACAGGCGTGGTTAGAGCCAGCCTGGGGCGTCCAAAGGGTTCTGCTGAGAGTGCTGGCAAGGGACCTCCCACCCTGCCCAGGGAAGCAGGCTGAGTCCTGAGACTGAGAAGGGCTTAGCAGAAGAAGAGCATTCCAAGCAGGGACCCCAAAGTGGGCCACGCAAGCCCATGGTGGGGGTGGGGAAAGGGTAGTAGTAGGCAGGGTCACTTTCATGTCAGCTGGCACTGAAGGGAGATGTGCCACAACCAGGCCTTCCACAGGCTGCTGTAGCTGGCTGTGGAGGCTACCCACAGTCACTCTGTATCTCGGGTCAAGGTTGTTTGAGGCTCTTTCCAGGAGTTGGTGGCATCTTGGCTGGAACCCAAGAGGATGGGGATGGAAGCCCTGGTTTGTGCTGGAGACTGTGTACTTCACATACCTGGGCTCATCCTTCTTGGGCACAGAGTGTGGTATTCAGTGTGAGCAGGGATCACAGGCATGAGGGAGTAGCCAGATCCGACTCCACCTCTCCTTTCTGACACGGCCAGCCTGCTGGTCCTGTCCCACAATAGCACAGCACAGGGACAGTGACAAGCCTTCAGAGCCATGCAGATGACTCCTTCTCCAAGCGGAGAGAAATACTGATCTCGCATGAGTAATCCCCAGTCCCCATGGGCTGTGAGGCTTCCTCTTCAGGCCTCCAGGCCTGCTGAGTCTGTGGCACACAAATCCAGGCTCAGATTAGAGACTAGGGCTGCATAATAAGAGCTAAATCCCCTGCTTCCACCCCACAGACTTTCGTCCCTAGCCCTCCCCAACACCATTTTCAGGACTGACTTCATAGCATTCCCATTGTGAAATAACAATGGCTTCTCGTTCATGGACTGAGTGCTTCTTCCCTATGTCAGTGTACAGCCTTAGAGCGGTGTTGCTAGCAGGGGTTGCTGTCTCCTTATCACTTGACACACTGGGCTCCCCATGTTTGGCTCCAGGACCCACAGCAATGCTCCTGCTTCCCCCCCCCCCCCCGGCCCCGCGCCGCCCGGCACTCGGGTTTGAACTCAAACCCTACGTCTTGAGCCACTCTGCCAGCCCTGTTTTTTTGTGTTAAAATTTTTCAAGGTAGGGTTTGTCCAGGCTGGCTTCAAACCACGATCCTCCTGATTTCTGCTTCCTCAGTAGCTAGGATTACAGGAGTGCGCCACCAGCATGACGCTCCTTCTAAGAGATTCCTAGGGCCCCTCCCCTCAAGGGTAGGCTTGTCCTCAGCAAAACTCTCAGGAGAGTCCCAGACTCCTGGGCTGCTCTCCTTGTGCAACATTAAAGCATCTACACCCGTTCAAAGTCATTTATTGCCGAGCAGGGGAGAGGGTTCCAACCAGAGAACCATGCCGTGCTGACGTCCCCCTGCTTCTGAGCCCATTCTCCAAGTTCTTTTCTACCAGCACAGAAGCTGAGAACCTCGTGGAGGTGATATCACATCAGGGCAGCAAGTGGGCACCTGAGAAGAGCAAGAACCTGAAACCTCTGATGCCACCTGAGTTCTGCTGTTCTCTCTAGAAAAACAGAAGGCTTGAATTTCACCCCCGGAAAAGCAAAGAGTAGAGCTTATCCCAGGTTTACCTCCAGTGCTTGGAGTGCAGAGTGACTGGGGCAGTGCTAATCCCTGCCTCACTCTGTCACAGAGGCCCAGCAGCAGAGTGATGCGGGCAAGGCCTCCCAGGCAGTTAGTAACTGATGAGCCCTCCCGTCCTTCCCACCATGCCACGGCCTTGTTCACCTTAGCACATCTGAGAGAATTAGGAAGCAGGCACTGGCTGGAGAGATACCAGAATCTGGGTCTCCACCTGGCTTCTCTTTTACATGAACAACTTCTGAACACTGGGTACTTAACTTTTGTTATTTATTAGTCTTGCAAGGGAGTGCTGTTATTATCTGGGGCCCCCAGCTCTCTTAGGTAGCAGGGCAGGCCTCGGGCTCTGGACGGTGTGTTGGCAGATAAAGAGCTGCTCCGTTAGCCTGCTGCATTAGGAAGAGCTCGGCTCAGGCCTGGGGAGGCTCAGCCACAGTCCTGCCCGCTTATGGTGGGAAGCAGGCCATGCCCCTTCACCCTCTACCCCCCCCCACCCCACCCCCATCCAGCAACCTGTTGCCCTGTGGTTCCTAAGGAGGCTACACATCAAAATCACCTCAGGTAGCTTTTCAACAACACGCCTAGGTGCACCTTCTAGAAGCTGGGAGACAGTTCCTGGCCCAGTGACGCCTACAACCATAGGGGCTCAGGAACCCGTGAGGACAGTCCCTGCATCAGAGACCTCCAAGGACCCTATTTAAGAAGCCCTGGCAAGAGCTATAGATTGTCGTTCAAATCAAATCACCCAAGTCAGAAGTACTCAGAAGACTTTAAGAAAGATGAGGAAGAAAGCACAAAGTCACCGCAGCCAAGGACAAGAACCTGCCACAGACTGCCTCACTCCCTGGCTGTGTCTGCATCCGTGTCTCCTCGCCTTCCCCCTTGCCTTCTTTTTAAGAGGAAAGTACAGAGGAGGATAGTCTGTTAGAGCCTTTCCTCCCTGTCTCCTGATCCCTCCTGTGCACCACCATGACACCTGACCTCCAAGGTTCACCAGAGCAGAAATGAGTCTTGCTAGACTTGAGCCTGTCCTCTTTGCCCCACAACCCAGCTCTGCTCCAAATCTGCCTCGGGAGCAGTCTGGCCTCCCTTTTCTTTTGTGCACTCCAGACTGGTACCATGCCCTATTTGCCCTATTTCCCTTCTCCATGCAAGCTGGGAGGCTCAAACTATCTGGAGATCTTGAGACCCACAGTGTCTGCCACACCTAATAGGAGGGGCTCTGCACATGGCAGCGGGCAAGACAAGCAAGGTTTCTTAAGTGGGGGGACCTGGTCTGAGTGGTGAGAACTGGGCTGTCAGGCAGGAGATCCGCCTCCCCACTAAGAGTAGTGGATTCCCTTTCCCTCTGGAGAGTAGAGGACCTGATGTGGCACCCCTCAAAGCCCCTGTGCACCCCAAAAGGCCTATAGTGAGGGGCCCACCAGGCTCCCCAAGGGGTTAGAGTCTGAGCACTCAGGCTGAGGTTCAAGGGATGGAGAAACACCCCTGCTGTGCTGGACAGCAGCTCCTTGGCTTGGGCAAATCACTTGACATAGATGGCAGCCGTTGTGCCCCTCTGTCCTCAGGTCACCGTGGGGAGTGAGTGACTCCATTGCTGGACTCCCTCCATTTTTCAGACACTGGCCCTCCCGGGTCCTGGTAACCCTTGCCAGGGTCACCCAGCTCCCACACAGTGGTGGGACCCAGAGTCCAGCTCTCAGTGTGGCTAAAACAGCTTGGGAGCCTGTCAGCTCTCCTGGGAACCAAGGAGTTGGGGAGACTGTTTTGACTAGCAGCTCCTTTTCCAGCATGACTGGCAGCTGCTTCAAGGTCTCCTGAAAGAGTCCCTTCTCCCTCCCACACTCAGCACTCGGTTGCATGACGACCTCTCTGACGCTGGAGCTGAAGGAGAGGGAGGTTGGGTAAGGCTGGCTCAGGGCTGCAGGGCTCTGTTGCTGTGGGCAGATGGCACCTCCTTATGTAAACCACTGCATTCCAGCACCAACATGGGACCCATCCCAAACTGGGCTGAGGCCTCAGCTGTGAAAGTGAGGGCCCCTCCCTCCCACATGGCCCTCTGCCCCTGTCACATCTTCTCCCCCTGCCTTTCTGGGTTCCCTGTCCACTTTGATCTTTTTACAAGCTTTGTTTCAGACCAGCACTCAACTAGTGGCCTCCTCCTCCCTCAGGCCTCCTCTCTCAGGAGCATTAGTGCCCTTCCCTGGCCTCCTGCGCCTGGGAGGGCCGCTTTCATCTCCCAGCAGAGTCTCATTAGCTTGCCGCACAATGGGACCCGAACCTGTGCTGCCACTCAATTAGTTAATAGCAATCCTTTTTTGCTCCAGGTCTGTTTTTTCCACATCTTCAATGCTGAGCATAAAACAACTTTGTTGTTGCAAAGTATAAAACAAAAAAATATTGAAGGTGGAACGTTTTGATGGAAAGGAAGATCATGGTAGGTGAATCTTCCCAGTGTTCGACAACCGTGTCTTACCTGGTGCTTGGGGATTTAATGGGAATCCGAAAACCAGCAGTGGAGGAGCTGGGGAGAAAGGAGAGTCGGCAAGTCCACTGGTTATAAAATAGTCTGAATTGGAGATGGCATCAGCACGAGAGAAAAGACTGCCACCATTTGGCAAGTGGAGGGCTGGATTTGGCCAGGTTGTGAGCAGTGATGGAGAGGCTATGTAGAGGCCCTGCCTGTGAGTCACATGCCCAGACGGAGCAGCTCTGGGCAGGCGTATCCGCAGAGGACAATCTCTAGTTAACTGAGCACATTTCACCCCAGGGCAGCGGGTACACTCACCATACCCACCGTACACCAGCGCAGTTCTGACCCGTGCCTTGGCTGCGACCTCACCACTTGGGAAATGTGGGCAGATGGCTGTCCAAGGCACCGCCTGAACCATTATCTGCAAACTAGCAGAGCTGGGTGGAGAACGCTCTGGGAGCCAATATTGACTACCCCCTCACCAGCTGTGTGCCTTTGGGCATCTGGCAACCTCTGTAAGAAATAATGAAGACCCCACCATTCTGTGCGCCCTTTGTGAAATTTAGTGATCCCATTTGTTTGAATTTGTGAGAAAAACAAACTGCCCTGGTTTTGTTTTGTGCTTCAGAATCAACTGTGTGCCCCTTTGAGGGCCTTTCTCTCTACAGCCTCTGGAAAGTGCTCCAGCCTTTCTTGGAGGCGGGGCCTTGCCTCCACTGCCTGAGCATCACCAGGGAGGCCGGCTTGCCCACAGACTCCTTAACTAGATCCTCGTTCCTGCTAGCAGAGTCTGCAGGTGAGGCCTGTGCCCTTCCCATCTGCACGCTTATACGCTTCAGCTTCCCTAAGAGGAACAGATGAGGCTAACTCAAGTCCTGGGCCCCACCCTGAGACTCTGACTCACAAACACATTCTTAGGTGACTCCAGCACTGCTGCTTCATGAGCTGTGTTCTGAGTAGAGCCTTTCCTTGGCCACAGTGCAAACATGTGTGGCTGTGCCTCATTTTTCCAGATGGAAGCTGACTCTTCAAGGAGAGCTTTGTAGTCTGGAGAGGAGAGACAGTGCTGCGGTAACAAATGTACCCATCTAGGATAGCGCCATTCAGTGACCAAAACAAGATTCATCTCATCCCATTTCAGCCAGCAAAGGTCAGGGTCAGAGGTCCACTAAGGAAAGGACAAGAAGGTAAGCATAGGTCTGTCAGGCAAGCATCCGGGGACAGCAAGTCTGGAACTCAGGATTTAGACAATCTTGGGGTCCCGGTTTTGTGAACACTTGAAATTTGCCCCAAATTCCAAAGGCTACAGGGCCCAGGTAGGTAACATAAAGCAGGCCATTGTGTGGCCAGGGAGTGCTCAGGCCACCTGTGGGGGCAGAGGGGAGGTCCCAGCTCAGCACGAATCAGTGCGGCACTTGTGCGGAGCACGTCACAGGGCTGGACTGTCCTCACTGCAGCCTGCAAGACTGTCCGAGTTAGGTAAAGATTCCTGAATTTTAACTGTTGGTGTTAAAAACTAGGAAGAAAAGAAACCAAAACAATGTACAGAGGAGCAAAGCCTCCCTATCTGGCTGTGGCCTCTGTGTCACCAGTTTGATGGGAAAACCAGGACTGTGCGGGTGGACAGTGCCCGTCTCCAGAACAGAGTCATGCATGAGCTGGAGAGCAATGGGCATAAGGAACACAGCCGCCCAACTCTTTCTACTATTCCAGCAGGTGTTCACCAGGCATTTTAAATAAAAGGCAGCCCCTGTTCATTTCCCCCCACACTCACCGTGTTGCAAAGTTAACATCACTACTGCTTTGGGGGGAAGAGCATTGCTCATTTTAGAAAGCTGTCTGTCAAAATGCTTAAAATAAAAGCAGTCTTGGCACTTGGAGGAAAAAGTACCATTTATCTTGAAAGTCACCGGGTAAGAAATCCTCAGCCATGTGGGATCCTGGCACTGTGGGTGCCTTTGCAGGAGAGTCGTTGCTGTGCCCGTGGTCACAGGCATTTTTAAGTTCCTTTCTTATCTCGCCATGTGTGTTGGAGCCATGGCGTGAACCAGACCATCCCTGCCCTACTAGCTGCTTGTCTGGTGAGCTCACCAGCCACCAGGCAGGCCGTGGAAGTCTGGTGTTTAAACAAGCACAGAGAACAACCCGGCAGGACAGAGTTCCACATGCCTGCCTCCATGCCATCCTCTTCCCAGCCTACGAAGTTAATGTTACTACAGCCTCCATTTTATTCAGAGGAGACTGTCTTGCCTTCCAGATGGGGCAGAAGCCACCTCTCTGGAAGCGGAGGTAAGAACCAGCTCACCTGACTGCAGGTGTAGACACGTGGCCAGGCTCCTTTCAAGAGGTGGTTCACATGATAAAAGCGAGAGCACACAAGGGAGGGGTGAGGATAGGTAAGACACCTAAAAAACTAGCTAGCATTTGTTGCTCTTAACGCAGAGAAACTAAAGCAGATACCTTAAAGCAACTGAGGCCAATAGGAAAAGGGGAACAGGTACTAGAGAAAAGGTTAGATCAAAAAGAATTAACCTAGAAGGTAACACCCACGCACAGGAAATCAATGTGAGTCAATGCCCTGTATAGCTATCCTTATCTCAACCAGCAAAAACACTTGTTCCTTCCTATTATTGCTTATACTCTCTCTACAACAAAATTAGAAATAAGGGCAAAATAGTTTCTGCTGGGTATTGGAGGGGGGGGGAGAGGGAGGAGGCGGAGTGGGTGGTAAGGGAGGGGGTGGGGGCAGGGGGGAGAAATGAACCAAGCCTTGTATGCACATATGAATAATAAAAGAAAAATGAAAAAAAAAAAAAAAAGGTGGTTCACAGCTCCCTGCTTAGGGCTTAGCACTGCACTCCCAGTTGCCACCTGGCTAGTTTGCTTAACCACTGCTCAGGCCTGCTTGCCTGTCCTGACCATTGTGTTCTGGTAGAGCTGGAAAACCAGTAAGTCTGTGCAAGTTAGACCCATGCTTATTCTTGTTCTCAAAGTTAATGATTTATCTGGAGTGTTTTGTTTTGTGTTTTAACCACAACGTTTGTAATGCCAAGAATCCCTAATGAGGACGATCAAATAAACCACTAGTTTGAACACAGCTATCAAATTAGTATAATCTATTAATTTGCTGTTTGATGGCGGCATGAAGCAATCTACTGTCATCACATTTCAGAATTGCAGGGGATCTGGACCTGCCCCTTTGCTTTTCAGAGAAGAGCTTGAGACCATGGGGGATGAGGAGCTGGGTGAAGGTCAGGATACAGCCAGGTCTGAAACCCAGAGCTGTGCCACCTGTGCACCTCAGGCGGTCTGGTCCCTGGGCTTGCTTGCTCCCTGTCATGAAGTCAGGAACGTTGGGTGTGACCAAGAAGGTGCCGCCAACAGACACTTCAAGGAGCTGGAGAGGACCGTGCTGGCATGGCAGGACTCCTTGTCCTCAAAAGTTACTAGGTTCCTGATCATAAAGCTGATATGGCTACCAAGTGTGAGGCAGAATGAGAATTAGAGGAAGCAGCCCGGGAGGAGTGGAGTGCAGATGCTGGGAGCACTCCTCTGAGAGCCCCGCAGTGATCAGCCCTTGTCCCTTTCTGCTGGTCTCTGCCCTTTTCTCCCACATTGGTCCAGCCTGCCCAGGTTTCCCCACTCCGCTTGCCTCCAGGCCTGTGTCCTATCTGACTACAACATACCCTTCCCCACTATCCCTCCCTGCCCCAGCTCTGCTAACTAATTTTTCTACTTGAGATTTTATTTTAGATGTCCTTTCCTCTGAGAGAGAGGAGGAGAGGGGTCCAAAAGCAGACCTGTTGCCTATGACAGGAGTGTGTACTTCCATTGGTTTTTCCTAACTCCAGTCATTGTCCGTCGTTCCCAGGTGACAGACCATGCCACCACTGCCCTGCTCCACTATCAGCTGCCCCAAATGCCAGATGTCGTGGTCAGATCCTTCATGGTAAGTGGCTCCAAGAACCAGGTGATGGTCTTCAGCAGTGGGTGTCAGCTTGCTTCCTACCTAGTGTGCTGTTGTTGCCTGGTTTCTCTTTGTCCATGGGACCAGGGACCGGGTTTGAATTTGCTTTGCATCGGTGGACAAGGAGTATAACTGAATGAGCTATCAACCTCCTGTTGATTTCCTAAACCCCATCCCCCCAGCCTGTGGGACAGGACAGCTTTGATGGGCCACGCTCTACCCCACAATGGCAGAGGGGTGGATGAAGGTGGAAGAAGGTGTATCCTCCTTCCAGCCTTCAGCCAACCTCATATACAGTTTTCTCTTATCAGCATAATTCAGGGGGCTTTAGTGATGACATCCATGGCCCTGCCCGGCGAGAACCTGCTTGCCTGAGACAGTGGGACTTGGTTTGTTGGTTTTCCTTGGCCGTGAATCTCCTTGGATTTAAGAATTGAGTTATATGTGCCTCATCCTTATGTATGATGCTGGGAACTGTCTGCACTCTGAACCGTTTGAGCCTGTGTTTGCCACTTATTACGTTACTGGGTGGCACTGGGGCTATCCGCACCCACCCCCCCAGGTATGTTAGGCCACATCGTGACAAGTGAGTGATGACCTCCAAAATCACATTAGCTAGAAGACACATTGCCCTCAGTGCAGAATTCTCCAGCCACCATCTGTTCAGGAACTCTCAGCATGCATCCACTGCACTGCACAGTGGCCAGCGGGTTAGGACGAGTGACGGGACACCCAGACGACACGAGGGTCAGTGTAGGGTGCTTGTAGCCCTCAGCCCCAGGGCCTGGGGACTGGTGGTCCCAGGACCCTCAGGGAGCCCTCCCTGTGTGGGGGCTCCCATGCTGGGCAGAAGTTGGGGGGTTGGAACTGAAAGTCACAGTGAGTCACCTTGTAAGTTCAGCAGCTTCTCTCTGTGAGATGACAAGGCATCTTTGGGGTCAAAGACAGCTTGAGTGTCTTTCTTTGGGACCATGAGACCCGATGGACAGGACGGTTTAGGAAGCACCGGGGCCTATTGTCTTGTTTCTCTCTTCACTTCTCTCTCCAGACCTGGCTGAGAAGCTACGTAAAGCTGTTCCAGGCGCCATGCCAGCGCTGTGGAAAGTTTCTGCAAGAGGGCCTTCCCCCCACATGGAGGGACTTCCGGACCCTGGAAGCTTTCCATGACACCTGCCGGCAGTGACCCTGGCCTGGCGCCAGGCCAGCCTGCAGACCCCATCCAGTGCCCCCAGCCATCCCTGAGCAACACTGTCACCCAGGCTCTTCTTCACCATGCAGGTGTCTGTCCAGCCACTCTCCCTCTGTCCCACTGTAGGGACAGCACTAGTCACACGTTAGAGCACAGAGAAGAAAATTTCACAGCAGGCTGTCCCCACGCGTGCTGGCGACACACTCAAGCCCATCCTCCTGAGTCTGTTGAAGTTATTTTCACACACTGTGGCTGGGGTGACCCTTATGCTCATATGTTGGCATGCGGGGTTGGGCTTTGTTTTGTTTTTGTAAACAATAAACCTTTTGTACCAGGACAAGGCCTTGTCTCCTCTTTCTTACAGCACCGATTGCATTCAGCTCAGTGACCGTGAGAGCAAAATGTTCCTTCTGAGACCGCCTTCCTGCTTCTTAATGTTCGGGGAGGGGCAGCATTGGTGGACACCCGGTTCAAAGACACTTGCTGTTGGAAAAGTGGATTGTTCTATTTGAGGAAAAAAGCACACAGAAGTCTCTTTGTACTAAGCCAGTAACAGGTGCCTGGAGAAGAGAAGGCCCAGGCCAGCACTACAGCACTACAGGCAGGTGTCACCACACTGAGTCCTGAGTCCACTCCAGCCTAATCTACCCAGTTCAGTCAGGGCCTAAACGCCAGGACCTAATGCCATCACCGGTTCTGTAGAGGTCACTGCCCTGGCAAAGGCCAGAGGAGGGTCATTCCCAGTGCCCTCCCCACATCTGCCTGCAGAGCCAGAGCCCCCAGAGGGTGGGGGGGGGGGCGTGCCATCTGCTGTGCTTAAAAAGTGTGTTGCAGCCCCGGTCCTGGAGCCACTCAGCCCTCTCCACCTGCCTCCACCAGGCCAGAGGATGTGGAATTTAGGATGGTGACACAGGATGACAGTATTCCACGTGATCCCCAGACCAGTGGCATCGCCACCATGATCAGGGGAAGCACCTGATCTCTCACAGCCCCCACCCTTGGGAGATTGAGAGACCCCTGCTCTGGGAGAAACGCCATGTTCTCTGTGGAAGCACGGGAGGCGGCGTGGTAGATTGCAGGACCTGTCCAGAGAAGGGGCAGTGGTACATTATGCACCAGAGCTTATCCGTTCTAAGATACCAGCACTCATCACAGCCACTAAGAGAGAAACGCACACTGCCAATTAAACCACAGCCAGGCCTTAACGATAATCCCGTGGGACACATGAGTCAGTTACAGCAGCCTGTCCTTGCTTTGCAATTTCTTTCAGCCATCTGGGGGGATGGGAAGGTGGTTTCTTCTGCCCTAAGACTCGTTTAGACTGTGGCGGATGATCGCTTTCCCTGATTGCCAGTCACAGACCATGGCTTAGCTTCATTGACTTGCCCTACCCCCCTTCCTTTTGTCTCTAAAGACCCATGTTTGTTGCTTTCCAAGAAAATACTCAGAATGTACTAACATTTTGCCTCAGTGCTGTGCATCTCTGCAAAGATGTTTTAAATGGCAACCAAGCTGACCTCACACCGTGCTGAGGGTGCACAGAGCTCATGTGAAGTGACGACAGTGCAGCCAGCTATGGTCAAGCTGAGCCACGTGCAGAGAATCACAAGTGCCCCTGTGACTGCCACCTGGCACGGCGCATTCCAGAAATGTTCAAATGTGAAAAAATTCCCCAAGGTTGAAACCACAATGCACGTTGGGAGAAAGCTGTTTGGGGTTTTAGTTCTTTGAATCTCCATAATACAGCGAGTCTGAGAGTGTCCCGACAGCACCAGGCTCTCGACTTCCACCAGCCTCCGGTTTGCACAGAGTGTGAAGGAGCAGGCCTGGAGCCCAAGGCCGTGAGCATGTGATAGCTCCTGCCTAGAACGTAATGGAGACGCCTGGGTTTCTGTGTCATCTTCAGAGATACCTTTTTGGCAAATGATGCCTGGCTCCCATTTACAGGGGCACTAAGAAAGTCTCCCTGCAAAATAGGTTTATTTAGGAGGAAGAGTGACCACTAAAGGAAAGCATGGCTTAATAGCACAGGTAGGGATGGCTCCAGTGCTATGGGTGAAAGGGTAGGCAGGTGACAGGTAGAAGACGCAGACAGCCAGGCCTGCCCCGCAGCCCCACTGCACACTCGGGTGAGGTGCCGGCTGACGACCCAGTGATAGGGAGGGGGATGTGGCAGGGAGGGAGCTTTGGTGATGAAACACAGCCAGGGCTGGCCATGGTCATCGTGGAGACTGGGCAGTGGAGACACGGGTGGTGCCACCTATTCCATTTTTCTAGTTTTTAACGCTCCCTAATATTAAAAGGGGGTGAGGAGCAGACCAGTGAGCTTTACAGCCTTTCCATCTCTGCCATCCTCCTTCAGTCCTGAGAAGGAAATGCCAAAAGGGAACAGAACTGAAGTCCAGAGGGGTGAAGGGTCTGGTGGCCAATTCCCGAATGCTTGGTGCTTAGGGACAACTATGACAGGGGCCAGCTTTGTGTTTTGGTCACTGGAATGGACAGAAGGGATGGACCTGAAGTTGCACCAGGTGGGCAGGATCGGTTCCAACAGGGTGGACTGTGACAGAAACCAGAACGCTGCTGCCACCGTGAGGATGGTCGCCAGGTCCCAGAGCCATCTCCTGGTGCCTGTTACTAAAAGAAACCCGACTGCCAAGGGTACTGTGTCAGCAGAGTCAGAACATGGCTTGGTCTGTCCAACAGTTCTGTCTAGCCCAGACCTACTAGGATCTTTGTGGGACTTAATTGGGTTCTGCGCCTCGGCATCTCTTCTGCGATCTAATTGCAGGCCTGGTGGGGTCATGGTGTCCCCATTTTTAGAGTAGCACACTGGCCTGGCAGCCGAGCTCTGCTGAAGTACACCACGATGCCCCAGTACGCCTGGGTCTGACAGGTGCGCCTCTGGGTGGCCACGCTTTTGCCCCATGCCTTCTGCTGCCTAGGGCACTGTCACCCTTTAGGAACTGACAGGACAGAACGAGCAGACCTATGAAAGGTTGTCCAGATTTTTTTTCTGAACTAAATCTGGAATTGGCCTTTTGGTATCGAGTGGTGTTTTTACACTTCACACCCCGGACGGCACAAAATGATGGTCTTTCGGTGTTAATGCGCAAACTTGCCAATGCATTTAGAGTGTCAGAGAGTGGGCCTGTTGCTAAATTGAGAACTTTGAAGGTCATCCTCACTGGGAGGAGAAAGGACAGCTTCAGCCAGCAGGTGTCTCTCCTGCAAGATCTGGAGCCCTACCCTGTGGGGATGCACTGTCCAGCCATCAGGTCTGTGGGGGGTGAGGTAGGGCAACCATCCCTTGCAGTCTGTGCCCCCAGACTTGCATCTCCCCTGGCACACCAAAGACTGTCCCGGGAGCCATCGTGGTCCTGCACTTATCAGGAAAGGGTCCCACCTGTGCACTGACTGGTGCAGCGGCCAGGGCTGGTTCAAAGCCAGGCAATGTGCAGGTCCAGAGGGGCCAGGGTCGGGTGACTGGGCATGAGCCATTGGTCTGCTTTGCAATTAATCAGGCTTCACTGTAGCATGGTAGGGGGGTGGGGGGAGGGGCGCCTCCCAGACTCTGCCATTGCTCCTCCCCACCACAGCTCCCTAAGCTAGAAGAAAGGAAGCTCAGAAAACTTGTGTCCAGTCAAATGTCACATTCCCGGTGGCCGTTCCCTCTGAGTGGTACTTGAAGAGCTAAACCTAAAAGCTCACAGGCGTACCCCCGGCACAGCCCGGTCTTGGCAGCCCTGAGATAGTAGCTGCTCAGGAGCAGCCCAGCCCCCACCTCTGTGCTAACTGAGTTTCAAACTCCAGCCAGCACAGACTGGCCCGGGCATTGCAGGCTGTGTTTTGCTACTCAGGGACAGGCAGGGCCCAGGTAGGATGGGGACAGTACGTTGTCCCTCTGGGAAAAAGGGACAAGGGGCACAAGGGAGAGGAAAGTAAGAGGCCAGGCCCTGGGGAGCCAGTCCAGGAAAGCACAAGTGCTTCCCAGCACCCACCACGCCCACAGCCCATGCCCGGCTGGGCTGGCTTGTCACCTAATGCGTTACTCACCCCTTGTTTGGCTCTCGTCTCAGTCACAGCCTTGCTTTCTTAATTACAACAGGAGCCATATGTTCCTTTGTAGAAAAATGGGGAATGTGAACAAGCAAAGCAGAGCAAATAATGCCCACATTCCCATGCGCTGGGGTAATTACTAGAGCCTTCGGTGTGGGCCTTTCCAAGCCTTCATGTGGCTAGGAACAGTGTCTGCAAAAAATGAGGTCCTACTGTATACTGTTTTGAAGCCTCCTTGTTTCTATTTAGCGAAGGTTATTGCCATAGCACAGGGGCCCAAAAATATGGTGATTTCAAGACTATAAGTACTGATGTCTTCTCCCCTGAAGGCTCACTCGGGGACTGTGTCCCTTCCCTCTCAGGGCACGGTCTGCATGGTGCAGACTGAGTTTTGACACCTTCCCAGTTTGCAGAAAGAGAAACACACAGGGAACCTGTGTACCAACATAAGTTCCAGACCCAGCCCTGGCACACAGCAGCTCCTCTTGTAATTTCATTAGCAAGAGCTTAGCCACACGGCTCCTCCCTGCAAGGGCTGCTGGGAAACATGGTCTCCAGCTGGGCACCCTGGGCCCTCCTATCTTAGGGAATGGCCGTCAATGGCACGGTCCATATGGGTTGGCATGTCTTCCTCATCCTGGGTTTTGTGTAACGATGGCTTTCCACTGCAAATAGCCATAATTTATTCACATCCAAATTCATGCATTGCCTACTGGGTTGTTTCAACTTCTCATTTTTTATTATTTCAACTTTTTATTATGGATTCACAGGAATTTACAAAGAAATGTATGGGAAGGTCCCACGTACCCTGCACCGAGCCGCCCACTGTCTTACGCACCCTGCATAAGGAGGACAGCGTCCACCCAGGAAAGGTGACATAGATGCCATGCAGAGAAGCTATGCAGATTTCACCAGCTGTGGATGCCCTCTGTGTGTGCATGTGCGTGTGTGTGTGTGTGTGTGTACTTTACCCTGGGTCTGATGGAGTCCAGCAGAGAGCAGCTTCCCCTCCACAGACACGGTGGGCAAGACGTCCGAAGTGCCCTCAGAGTCGAAGTCACCACCCACTCCACGCCCCACCTGGCCACCTTCAGGTCTGCAAGCACCAGATGACCCCGTCTTCCTGCTTGATCAGAGCGAAGTCCCTTTTTGCCGCCCGTTGCCTTTTGAGTTTTGACTTTGCAGTGGCCTTCATTTCCAAAGGGGAGCCGGTCAAATTAATGATCACCAAAGGCCAGAGTGAATTTGCTCTTTTTCCTGTTTCTTTCCATAGTTTGCAAACCAGCAAAGTTCAAGAAAAACTTCCCTGCATAGAAGAGGAGGAAGATCATGAGGAAGCCGGTGGTAGTTCTCA